CACAGCAAAGAGGCATAAAGGGGCAACCCTGGGCTCCTGTCTCAGAGCCTGGGGCTGTCTCCAGGGGTCAGGGACACCCCAGCAGAGACCAGTGCGTGGGGGAGAAGGGGCGGGCCAGGACAGGGCTGCAGCAGCTCGGGGCCTCTCTGGTTACAGGGCAGAGAGAAGGCGGCCCAGGAGGCTGGGCCAAGGGTCCAGGGTGAGCCGTTCAGGAACAGGGCCAGAGTAGCAACTCGCTAAAGACCTGGAGACTTAAACAACAGGAATTTCTTTCTCATAGTTCTGAAGTCTGAAAGTCCAAGTTCAAGGTGTGGGCAGGGTGGGTTTCTCCTGAGGCCTCTCTCCTTGGCTTGTAGACGGCTTTCCTCTTGCCACCTCCCATGCGGCCTCTGTGTCCTAATTCTTTGTTATAAGAGACTGGGGTCATTGGACTAGGGCCCACCTTAAAGGCCTTAATTATCTCTTCTTTTTTTTTTTAAGCTTTTATTTATTTATCTTTAGAGGGGAAGGGAAGGAGAGAGGGAGAGAAACATCAATGTGTGGTTGCCTTTCGTGTGTCCCCTGCTGGGAACTGGCCTGCAACCCAGGCATGTGCCCTGACTGGGAATCGAACCGAGACTGTCTGGTTCGCAGGCCCATGCTCGGTCCACCGAGCTACACCAGCCAGGGCTAATTATCTCTTCAAAGGCCCTCTCTCCAAGGCCCATTCTGAGGCACTGGTGATTACAATTTCAACTCGTGAACTGTGAGGAACCAGATTTGGTTTATAACAACAGTGGGTGTGCGTCCCCGGAAAGCGGGGCCCTTCCTGAGGACCCGGCCGGGCTTCAGCCGGCCTGCGGGGTCTCCGGGCCAGGTCTCCAGGACTGATGTCTTACAAGGATGTAGAGTGCCCAGCGACTGCCCCCTCCCCCGACGACGACGCCCCACTCCTCCCCTCCCCCACCTCTGGGGAGGGGTGCGGGCTGGGGCGGCTGCGTCCTCTGCTCCAGGTTCATTCCGGTCCCTCCTGAGAAGGTGGAGCCTGCCCCACTCTCCACCACAGGCCCGGTGCAGTAGGGGATGTTGCAGGCGCCCCAGCAGGAGCTGGCCAGGCCTTTCTGAGCCCCGGCTTCTTTCCGGCTCCACAGAGGGGTCCTCATGTCACCACTCGGGGGAGGAGATGGGAAGCCCTGAGGTGGCAGCCACCAATGGTCAGAGTGACAGCTTCATCTTCCTCTGAAATAACAAAAAATATCTCAAAGAAAAGTATAAAAACTCATTAATTGAGCATCTACACATCAGCCCTGCCAATCCCTCCTCTCAGGGCTGCTCACAGCAGCTGTGGGTGCCCACCATGCAGACGTGAACACTGAGGCTGAAGGCTGGGGTGCAACACGCCCCAGGGCTGATCTCTGGGGCCCCCCCGCTTTCCCAGGCTGGCCCCGGGGACTTCCCAGAAGGCACAAACCCCAGCAAAACTTTGAGGAACGCCCAGCATTTAATGAAAATCCTCTCATTATAGTGGAACTTGCCAACCAGCATAAGCCCCCCATGCCTCCAGGCACGGGGGACGGTCTTCATTCTTTGTGACCCTCAGCTCCTGCCACACGCTCCTTCTGCATGGACACTGCCTTCCTGCCGCATGTCCCCAGAGCCAGCAGAACCGATCTGATGTCTTTGAGGGAGTCACAGCAGGGCATCCCTGCTCCAGGTGGACTCGGCCCTTCGCCACACCTGAGCTCCCTGCGCACGGCCCATCTCTTGCTGCGGTCGCCAGAGTGGGTGCCCACCAGGCATGCACCCGCACCAGACAAGGAATTGGGTGCCCTGGCCACCATGCCCAGCTCCCAGAGGTGACGAGCCAGGAACTGGAGTGGTGGGACCAGGAAACGCAGCATTCTTTTGCGCCGGGATTGCCAATGTGGCCCCCAGAGCCTCCAGGAGCTCCCGGATCTCCTCTTGAACGATCCTATCCCGCCCAGTTCTCCAAGGCTGGTTTTTGCTGTTTGCAGCCAAGGATACAGAGGTTGGTGGCAGGAGGGGGCGGTGGGCAGGGCTTGGCCCCTGAGCCCCCTTGATAGATGTGCCGCGTGTCCCGGGTGAAAGAGAGACCCTGCTTTCCCCGGAGACTGGACACCAGTTTGCAGTTCTGCCCAATCACGAAGGGTCGCAGGACGAGTCAGCCGAGTGAGAAGAACGGCCCACGACAGGCGGTGCCAGGGCTCCAGTTTCCGCCCCCTCCCCCCAAACCGTACTCCATGGAAAACAAGCCAGTCACCCAGGATCACAGTGTGTGATTCCATGTCTGTGAAATGTCCGGAAAGTAGGTGAGGGGTTACCAGGGACTAAGGGAGACTAGAGAGGAACGGGGTGTGACCAGTTAGTGGATGTAGGGTTTAAATGGTTCTGAAGTTGATAGTGGTACGGCTCTGTGAACACTAAAAACCGTTGTACACTTTAAATAGGTATATTGAATGATAGTTACATAAAGCTGATATTTAAAAAAATGCAAAGTGCCTTTTATAAAGCATCCAGTCCACAATTATTAAGCTCCCCCCAGGGGCTGGGCACTGTGCTAGCTCTGGGTGTTCCCTGGTGAGCAAACCAGACATGGTCAGTTTCTGCCCCGCTAAGGTCACGGTTTAGTGTGGGAGATGCAAAAGCTCACTGTTTCGCATGAGGGGAGTGGGGTGGAAGAGTGTTCCAACCGGAGAGAAAGGCAGTGCAAAGGCCCTGCGGCCTGTGTGGCTGGAACTCAGGGGCTAGGGGGTGGAACATGGGGCTGTGTGACTGAAATGTTGACCCCAGACTCTGTTCTTACGGTAGGAGGTCTCTGAGAGAGCGGTGAGCAATGGTGTGACACCATCGGTCGCTCTGGGTGCTGGCAGGAGGGTGGAGGTGGGGAGACCAGCAACAGGCCGTGGCTACTGACATCCCAGCAAGAGACCCGGCTGCCTGGTTTCCACTTGCTGTCATTCTGGTTCCTTTGATTTTAGGTCCGATGAGTCACCTGCGAGTCATCACCCCCGCAGTCATCACTGTTTTTTCCTCTTGAACGGTGAACTTGTTTTTAATCACTGAGCCATTATGTTACGAGCCAATGGATTTGGAGACGCTTCCCCAAATACAGCCCTGGGGAAAACTTTAAATGCCATTTACTAAAAGAGTCTCCAAAACGCCATTGAATAAAAGATTCTCCATGACACAGCTGTCACTAGGTGCTCTGTTCAGGGCTGCCATGAGCTGGCCCTCAAAGAGCCGGGGTCAGCTGATGACCGCCCCCGGAGTGTGACTGGGGCAGGATGCCCTGGCGACAGCTGCCGGGGGCCCGGCGTGACGCTCCTGCCGGGGGATGACCGGTCCCGCTGACCCTGGCGTTGTGGATCCAGTGACACTCTGGTGCGTTTGCCAGCTCAGCCCTGGGGCCGCAGTCACACAGGCTCACAGGACGGGCTCCTCCTGCTGACTGGGGGCGGCCTCCATCGTTGTAAAATATTAACAATTTGTTGATTTGCTTGTGGACTCACCCAGCTGTTAAGATGAGGGCCCAGTCCTCCCTTTTCTGGGGAATCTGCTGAAGCGAGCTGGGCTGCTATAACCTCGTCTTTCGGAACATGAGGGCCTCTGTTTGGCATTCACACCCACTGTCGCATAAAAAACCCAGACAGAGGCTTCTCCTTCTGCCTCACCTCCCTCATCTAAGAAGTCCCCAGTCCCTCCTGCCGCTTCCTGAATATTCCTAGAATCCACTTCTTCCTCTCCAACCCCCTTTGTCTGCCCTGGTTCAGGGCTCATTTTGTCTGCTTGGAAGACCAGGGCAGCCTCTTTCATTGGCCTTGCAGCCCCCACTCCCTGCTGCTCCTCGCCCCAGGCACCATCTGAGCCACCTCAGGGCAAGATGGTCTCGTCCCTCCCTCCTTTCCTCTCTACTTGACTAACTTCCATTTGCCTCTCAAGCCTTGGCTCTGAAATTGCCACTAGGAAGCCCCCTTGACCCTCAGGTGAGGTCCGCTGCCTCCCCTGGGCCCCCCAGCCCCTTCACAGTCCTCAGCCATAGGTTGTAATGCCTGTGCAGAGCCTGGTCGAGCCCTGGGAGGCCAGCTGGGGTGAGAGCAGCTCCCCAGAGGGCTGGGTGGAGGCCTGCTCAGAAACGAGGGGCAGACCCAGGCATACTCAGCATGTCACTTGGGCTGTGCCTGGGATCAGATTCTGGCACTGAGAACAAGCCACAAGAGGGCCCTGGGACATGAACCAGCCTGGAGCGATTTCTGCTCCTGGCTAACCCTCCTGCCCAGTGGGGTTCATTCATGCTTTCACTCAGCAAACACCAGCAACCCCTGTCCCTCCTGAGTACCCTCCTGGGCAGGCCCCGAGCTGTGCATCCTGGACCTTGAGGGCCTTGTCATCTGGTGTTGGAACCAGGTCTGAACAGGACATTGTGAGATGGGTTACGCTGGGGGCAGCCAGGGAGGGTGAGGTCGGGGAGCTTTTAATACTCCTGCAATTCCAAGAGGTCAAGAGGGACCTGGGCTCCAAAGCATTAGAATTTCAAAGGTGGCTGCCCAAAGGGGCTGGCTCCCATGGCCGGGTGTTACCTAGGACACCAGGGCCTGACCTCCTGGTTGCATTTGATTCTGCTTCTATCTGCACCTGGAGGGGGTCTTGTGGCTGGTGGAGGTGCAGGCAGGATAAGGAAAAGGCCACCAGGGCCCAGGCGTGCATGGGATTTGAAAGCAAAGACTCCCCTGAAGAGTTTGCCTGGAATGGAGTACTACTAAATGCTCAGAAATGCTCAGTAGCTGGCTTCCTGGCCCTGCAATACTTGAGTGGGTTTCCGACCCACCCACAGGGCCCAACAAGAGATGAGGACACACCCCCCCAGACATGATTAGGACTAGCAATGAAGGGGACAGGCTCAGGGCACCCCTGGACCTGGTGGCGGGCAGGGCTGGGCAGAACAAGGCCAGGCTGGGCCCCACGTGTAAATGTTCCTCTTCTGAAACCAGCACAGGAACTGCTCAGGTGGAAAAGCCAGACAGCATTTATTTACCTCCAGAGAGGGGGTACCCCCGCCCGCAGGCACTGCAGTCAGGCTGAGGGGCCAGGGGCCAGTGGGTGGGGTAGCAGTGGACACAGCACAATGGGCAAGTCACTAAGCCTGTTTCTCCATCTAGCAAACCGTGAGGTTGTCTGGATTGGACTAGCGGAGCGTGACTGCTTATCTCTCTGGCGTGATAGAAGTCGGGCCTGGAGCTCTGACCTCCAGAGACCCTGCTGAGTGGTGCTGCTCTTTGACATCAGGTCACCGGCTGGGAGCGGCCGCCGGGTGGCGTCCAGCAGGTCCTCGAATAGGAGTGCGCATGCGGGACTGTTCGGCAGTAGCTGCGGTGCACTGGTCGCCCTCGTGTGGCCACAGAGGGTAACACCAGCCTTAAGGGAGGATGGGCGATGGGGGAATAAACCTGTCCTCCAGTGACTGGGGGTGGGGAGTGATCATGGACCCAAGAGAGCCCATTGGGGTGATTATCTGAGGGAGTATGCCCAGTATATGTGACAATCTGAGGGCATGACAGACTCAACAATAACAGGTCACATCTGGACATATTGCCATCTGAGGTCCAGAGCCTTGAGTGAGCTCCCCAAGACCTGCCTGAGGCCCCATATCTAACACTGTGTCTGGCATGCAGTAGGCCCTCAACAAGTGTTCGTGGAGTGAGAGTGAGTAGGTAAGTGTGAGGGCTTCTGTGTGTGCAGGGGAGTTGGAAGTGGTGGCCCAAACATCTGTGGCCAGATGGTCATAATGTGCATCTACACTCTGACCTTCTAGCCACGCTCAGGAAGGGCCTGTGCCCAGGGACAGAGCAGGCGCCTCTGAAGGCTTCACTGCAGCCCCAGCCACTGGCCACTGGCTGGCGGGACAGAGACCTGGGAGGCCCAGGTGCTCCCAGTTCAGCTTCCTAAGTCCACTCTAGGCCTCCACCTGGGGCCTGGAAGCTTCCAGTCAGGTTGGCCTTTCCATCCTGACTCACAGGAGGACGTGCAGAATAGAGGTAGGGAGGGCAATGGGGGCCGGATGCCCAGCCTGACCATAGCCCTCCCCCGAACTCCCCTGCATGCAGCTTCAGTTGCCTAGAGAGAGCGGGGAATGGGAAAGCCAGTCAGGGCTGCTAGAGGTGGGATTTCAGGCAGGGGGTAGTGTGCTGGGGAGGACGTGTGGGCGCAAGGGCTGAGAAGGAGCACTCTACCCTTGTCTCTCCATCCCCTCCCTTCACTGCCCCAGGGATAGGCACATAGGCCAGGCTAGGGACTGAGGCTGGGGAGAGGGTCCAGGCCAGGCTCGAAGCCCACCGGCAGGGTGACAGCTTCACTGGGCGGGATGTGGTGGGTCACGTAGCGCTTGCCCTTGAAGGAGCCAATCCGAAGCTGCTCAGGGGCTTCCTCAGGCCACCACAGGCTGGAGCTGGACAAGAAGAGGAGGAGGAGCTGTGGCACGGCTGGTGGAGCTGGCTGCCTCTGGCTGGATCCTGTCACCACTCCCACACTCCTCTTTCTCCTCTGATCTCCCTTCCCTCCCTTCTAGAACAAGCTGGAGGCCTGCCTCCTCCAGGTGGCCACCCTGAATACCTTGATGTCGATTCACTGAATTAAGAGAGGGCTCGTGGAGAGAAAATGCGGCCCAAGAGGACAAGGCCAAAGCAAGGGCACACGGACAGAGAGGAGAATAGTGAGGTGGCCCCTGCTCTGAACCTGCAGTTGGAGGAGCTGCTGGACCACATGCCTCTCTGACCTCCCAGGGGAGACGCTCGGGTGGAAATTCCCCTCACAGTCCTTCCAGGGACATTGCCCAGCCAAAACCACAGGGTCAGGGAGGCCTTCCAGGCTCAGGGATCAGAGAGAGAGAAGGGGTTCCCGGTGGGCAAAGGGCCCTGGGTGTGTCACCACTCACAAGCGCACAGTGGAGGCTGCCAGGAAGGCCAGGAGCAGCAGGCCGGCCAGAGAGGAGAGGATGGAGGTGATGACAATCATGTCACCATGTCGCCGCCCTGGCCATGTGTCGATGGACCCTGGGGACTTCCCTGCACATACAGAGGCTGCTCAGAGACTGCCCAGGGACCCCAGGGCAGTCGCCCCCCCACCCGTGCTCATCCCTGGGGACAGGCTCCCTCTTGTCCACAGCCTCCTGAGCCCACCCATCTCAGATGGGCACCTGCCCCGTAGCCTGCACCAGCCGTGGCTCCAGCCCCCACCCTCGTCTCACCTTCTAGGCTGCTCCCACCAGGGCGCCCACCCATGGCTCCATGGCAGACCTCAGGACTGGCCACGAAGCTGCCCTGCCCCCTGGAGGCTGGCATGCAAGGCCTTCAGACAAGATGCCACCATCCCCGCCCCCAGCTTCTGCAGCCCATCTCCCAAGTGTCCAGACACCGGACATTCTGGCCTTCACACATGCAGTTTCTTTGGCCTGGTGACTCATTCATGCTGGCTTCTGGGGGACCTGCTGAGGGAAGCCTCCCAGAACCTGTGGCCCCAACTGACCCTGGGCCACTTTCTTGCCCTGACCCTCTTCTCTGAAGCAGCGCTGGGCCCCGGGCTGCCTCCCTGTAGGAGGGAAGGCTCTCTGCCCTCGACCGGGCTGGGGCCTGGACTCCAAGAGCTGGCAAACATTTGGAGATGGACAGAGCCAGTGCCTCTACTGCGTGCCCCACCCCCCAGCACAAGGTTCTGTGTGGAGGGTCAGCCAGGCTTGAATACTGACACCAGTCCCCATCCCATGGCAGTGACCGGAGGGGGGCAGCTGGGCATGACCGTTTTGCCCAGGGTGATGAGTCTCCAAGGGACAGCCTGGAGCCAGAAAGCCCCTCCCCAGTGCTACCTTGGGGAAGAGCGATGGGGTCGGACCACCTGGTCTCGGCCTGGGGTGAGCCCCTGGCGTCCATCAGGAGGAACTTCACCCTGGGGAGCAGAGGAGGGATGAGGCTCAGAGCCCAACTGCCCCAGGCAGGGTGCCCACCGCAGCCGGGCTCCAGGCCGCTCTTCTGGGCCACGCTCTGAGCGTTGGCTCAGCAGGTGTATGGGCTGGGGGCTCCAGGCCCCCCAGAGGAGAACCGCTGGCCCTGTGCAGTCTCTGAAGCCATGGAAGCCCTCCAGTGGAGGCGAGCACCCCAGGGAGAGGCCTAGGGGAGGGAGGGGTGTATTCAGGGCGCACTCAGAGCCCAGGGTCACAGGGAGGGGACAAAATGGCACTGAGGGCCGTGCAGAGGAGCTCAGGTTGTGTCTTTGCAGGGGGCTGGGGAGCTCTGGAAGGGTGCTGAGTGTCAAGAGCCCCAGGCAGGCTGGCACTGAGGGAAGCTGGCTCTGGTGGCTGCTAGGGATAGGAGTCAAGGCCTGGGGCTGAGGGGAGGTGGACCTGGCAGGGCTGGGTGAGAGGGCAGAGGGAGGCAGTGTGGAGGTGCAGGCCTGCCCATACCACACTGCCCGCCCTGCACGCCCGCTGGTTCTCCCAGCTGAACTTGGTCTCCCTGAGGGCTCCTGGCCTCATCCTGCGCCCTGCGCAGCCCTGGTCTGGACAAGTCACTTGGAGCTTCTGTGCCCTACCCCCATCAACCCCCTCCCCCACCCCAGAGGAAGAAGCCAAGGCTTACAGACGGGAAGGGCCTGTTTCCCCTGCAGCCAGGATGGAGCTGGGGAAAGGCTACGGAGGGCAACCTCCTGTCCCAGGCTCCAGGCAGAGCCACCCACCTGTAAGGTCCGGGGCCGGGGAGGGGGGCATTGCAGTAGGACGCCTGGTGGAGGTCAGCCGGGCAGTCAGGGTCGTTGCCCACCCGCAGCACAGGGATGCTGCTGCCACCCACGGGATCCTCCTCGCAGGGCAGCTGGTCCAGGGACAAGGGCAGCGTCATGTAGTGGCCATCAGTACTCAACAACTGAGGAGAGGCTGGGATCTCAGCCAGTGTCCTCGGGTTCTGGAAGTCCCTGGAGGCTGCAGGAGGCAGAGACAGACAGATGGGGCTGGTGGCAGGAGGAGCTGGGTCTTCTTTGCCTCGGCCCTCCATGCCTCAGCACCCAGAGGGCCCCTACGACCCAAAGCGGGCTTTGTCACCCTGTCAGAGCACCCTCTCCGTAAAGCCCAACTCCTACCCCATGCCCAGCTGTGGAAGGTCACGGGGACGGAGGAGCCCCCAGAACCTGCAGCTCTCTGCGGCCCCCCACCCCACCCCAGACCCCACACCTGTGCTGTGACACACCATTGCTGAAGGCCACCACCAGCCAGACAGTGCTGGCAGCACTGGCGTTACTGTCTAGCACACAGCGCGGCTGCTCCAAGGAAAATGTGGTGGCTGTCACCTTCCCTTCCAGGTCCCAGGCTGTTATCTGCGGCGTGTAGGGGATCAGCTCTGCGGCCATGGAGATAGGCGTGAGGGTCGGGGGCTGCCCCTCCCGATCACAGGATGCGGGCTCCCCAGGTCCAATCACTCCAGCAGGTGCTCCACAGGTGTGTCCAATCCCTGAACCCCCACTCACCCAGGTTCGTGCAGGGCTGGGGCCAGACCAGCGCCCCCAACAGGAGCAGCAGCCACAGGCGAGGCTGCCTCTGGGAGAGCCCCATGACGGCCGTCTTCCACCACAGCCGCAGCCTGGGGCGGCTCTGGCTGACCCTCTGCCACACTCCTCCCCCAACACCTTGGGCTGGGAGGAGCTGGTTAGTCCGGCTGCCAGGTTGACCAGGGGCTGGAAAGACCTGAAAATGTGCACGTACCCCAACTCCTCCCCTCAGCCCAGTCCCCACAGGGTGGGGCAGGCCAGGGCTGAGGGGGAGGCCGCTGGAGCCCAGAGTCCCCTGTCTCAGTTTAGGGCCCACCCAGCCTCCCATTCTCCCAGCCCTGGGGAGAACAAACATTTAGAACCTTGGGCTCAGGGCCACGTGCCTGAGATTCCTGCACCCCATGTGCCAGGAGACTCCCTCTGGCCTTCCATCCCCACCCATCCCCACCCAGGAGCAAGCCGGGGGCAGCTCCAACTTGCCCAGTCCCCCCCATCACGACTCCCCCACACAACCTGTCTGCTCCGGCCCCTCACATCACACTTGGCCCCCTGCCCTCCCTCCTCGAAGCCGCACCCTCCCTGGCTCCTCAGTTCCCTCGTCCAAAGGAAGAACATGGAGAAAGGTCTGTAGGCCCTTGACGGCTGGCAAGCCCCCACGTACATTACTCACTCCCCTCAGCTCTCACTGTATATGCAGGTGGGCAAAAGTGGTGTGTGAAAGTTTATTCTTCTATTATTTTTCATTATTGTGCATTTTCCATACGAACATACTTTTGCTTCACTCTTTGTATGTGTATATATATATATTACTGATATAATTCATATATCATAAAATTCATCCTTCAAAAGTATACAGTTCCCTGGTTTTTGCACATTAGCAAGGTTGTGCCATCGACACCAGTTCCAGAACTTTTCGTCACTGGAGGGAACACTCGGCGGAGAGTCACGCCCTACTCCCTCTGGCCTCTGGGCACCGCCAGCCTTTCTGCCTGCGGGGGTCTGCCTGCTCTAGACATTTTGTACCAAGAGAATCACACAGTGTGTGGCCTTTCCTGTCTGGCTTCTTTCACTTGGCATAATATTTTCAAGGTTCATCCGTACCCGTATGACAGTACTTCATTTTTTTTAAATCCTCACCTGAGGACATACTTTTATTGATTTTGAGAGAAAAGGAGAGAGAGAAACGTTAACGTGAGAAGCATGCATCGGTCACCTCCCGTACCGCAGCACCCCGATCGGGAACGGAACGTGAGCCAGGTGTGCGCCCTGACTGGGCAAACCACGGGGTGCCAGTGCGTGGAAGGGGGCCCCATCCCCCCGAGTCCCCCGGCCCGGGATGTGCTGTGTTGCACGGGTAGACCATTTTGTTTGCCCATTCATCAGCAGGGGGATATTTGGGGTGTTCCACTTTGGGGCCATTATGAATCATATCCATAGGACCATTCATGCTTCAGTGTGGACGTTTTCAGCTCTTGGATATGAACCTAGGAGTGGGACTGCGTAGCCACGTGGGGACCGCTGAGAAACCGCCTCGCCATTCTCCAGAGCAGCTGCGTTTCACATCCCCACCAGCAAGCAGCAGCAAGAGCTCCGATCCTCCACATCCCCGACACGTCGCTTTCCTGTTTATCTGTTTATTGATACTAACCATTCATGGGTGTGAAGAGGGGTCACCCTGTGGTTCTGATCCAGGTCTCCCTGATGACGTTGAGCATTTTCATGTGCCTATCAGCCATCTGTGTATTTTCTTTGGAGAAAAGTCCTTTGCTTTTTTTTCAATCCTTATCCGAGGACGTGCTCATTGATTTTGGAGAGAGAGAGGGAAAGAAAGGGAGAGAAATATTGACGTGAGAAACATCAACTGGGTGCCTCTTGTATGCGCACCAACCAGGGACTGAACCTGCAGCCTAACCATGTGCCCTGACTGGGAATTGAACCCGCAGTTTTAAGTTTGCAGGATGACGCCCACCCGAGTCAAACCTGCTCAGGCTTTGTTTTAAAAATTGGGTATTTGTCTTTTTATTACTGTTGTTGAGTTCCTCACGCAGTCTGGACACGAGACCCTTACCAGGTAGATTCTGCAAGTGCTCCCCCCACTGGCTCCCATTACACTTAAATGTGGGGTCCAGAGGGCAGCAGCATCGGGTGCCCACCCGCTGCCCGTGCTCTGGGGGCCAGCAGAGCAGGTCTCAGGGTGGGACCCAGCGCCCCGGCCCAGCCAGGCCCTGCCCGCCCCAGGACCAGCTCCTCCCGGGGGCTCGGCGAGCAGTGTGCAGGGCCCGCAGTATCTTTAGGGGCCCGGGAAAAGTCTTGATTTCTTTTAAAATCAGAAGGAAAAAAAGTGAACTTTTAGATGGGAGAAAATGCTCTAATGTGTGTTCATCTTTGCACCGTCACATTGTAAGACAGAATTTAACTTTTTCCTTATGCAGAAAGGGGCTTGCAAAGGCAAAAGTGCCCGGCCCACTCGAAACGCAGCCCTGTGCGCCCCTCTGGTCCCAGGCCCCAAGCACTCCCCAAACCCGCCCCGCTGGCAGACAGCAACTGAGGCAGTATTTGGTCCTCCCTCTGAGAGGCTGCCAAAGAATTAGAACTTTGAGGATGGTATCAAACCAACCCCGGCCCAGATTTCAGCTCTGGGTCTACCACTAGCTGGGACCTCGGGCCAGTCACTACGCCCTTGAGCCTCAGTTTCCCCATCTGTGAAATGGAGACAGCAGCACCTGCCCCTGCGAGCAGTGTCCCCAGAACCTGGGGAATACGGGAGGGCGGGCTCTGAGTTGCTGGACTTCACACAAGGAGAACGAGTTGGGGGCTGGGGAGCAGCGCAGCTCAGTGCCGTGGGCTCTCCGGCCCTCACTGCAGCCTGTTTGTTTCGTTTGGTTTTGAATTTTTTTAATTGATTTGAGAGAGAATGGAAGGCGGAGAGAGAGAGAGATCGTTTTGTTGTTCCACTTATTTATACACTCAGTGGTTGATTCTTCTACGTGCCAACCGGGGACCTCACCCGCAACCCCGTGGTGTGCCGGGACGGTGCTCTAACCCGCTGAGCTGCCCGGCCAGGGCTGGCCTCAGTCTGCACGTGGGAAATGGGAGCTGACACAGCAGGACACGGGTGTGCAGGCCTCCATACATCACACACGCTGACAAACGTACCAGGGCCTGCCGACTTTGGCTATTAGGCATTTATTGCAAACAACATCTGAGGTATGAGAAGCTGACCCAGATCCATGCCTGCCCCGGGCTGGGGCTGGGGCAGTCTCCTCACCCCAGACCAGGCCCCCAGCACTGAGGTAGCTGCATCGTAAGCCCCCACAAGAACAACTCCCCAGGCTTGCCCGATTGCCATGCAGATCCAGGCCTGGAGAGGAAGAGGAAGGAGGAAAGGCAAATGGGAGAAGCCCAGCTTTGGTGGAAAACGCCCACACCCCTGACAAACACTTCGGCCTCCGAGGAGAGGCACCTTCCTGCCTGTCCGTCCCAGGGCAGCCCAGCCGGCAGCGGGGATGGGGCGCCGGCTGCCAGGCTGGCGGGTCACTGCTGCTCCAGGCAGTCCTCGGTCACCCCCTGAGCGGCCAGCTCGGTCAGCACGTTCTGCAGGTAGTTGGGGTCAGGGTAGCCGTGGCCTGTCGCGTTGCGGTCCATCTCGGTCTTGTGGTGGATCTCGTTCCACACCACCGTGTCGGTCTCGCCTGTGGTGCTGGACGTGCCCACTGTGAAGATGAGCCGCCTTTTCCAGGCCACCTTCAGTAGCTCTAGGACCTGCCCCCGGAGGAAGAGGGAGAAAAAGAAGACGTGAGGGAGGGGGAAGGGTGAGTAAGCACCGACCTGTCGCTCCACAAGATGCTTCACCCTGGGGGCAGGGGTGGCCAGGCGACAGGGTGGGAGCGTCCACTGCCCACCCCCACTAACCTACCCCAGTGATAAAGGCGAGGACAGCAGCACCACCCGCCCACCAATGTCAGCTGTGGGCAGCGGAGTGCCACGGGCTAGGCTAAGCGATGTCATCCGTAGTCCAGGGTGTGAGGCCCCGTCTGTGGGGTCCCCAGCCTCCAGCTGTAGCCCTGACGCCCCTGGATGCCAACTGCTGGGCTGACAGTCCAGCAGGACCTCACGCTGGGCAGCTCCACGACTCGCCTTGGCCCCACCCCACGGCTGAGACGGTGCTGCCACCCGCTCGGCCCCCAAACACCTGGACTATGCCCTCTTCCAGGGACATTCAGGGTGAGCTCCCCTCCCATCAGCGAGTCCAGGCCTCCCTGCTCTCTTCCGTTCCAGAGCCAGCAGCTGGGCACGAGCCTGCCACTGTGAGTGTGGGGGGGCATCCCCAAGGGTGGCTGTGGCGGTGGGGCCTTTACCTTGCGGCCCTGGACATTGTCCGGAAGGTAGCACTGGCGGGGGAAACCTCTGGCGGTGAATGGCTTCCCAGGGTTGGGGTGCTCGGGGCCCTGCAGAAGGAGGACACGGGAGTGGGAGTGCTCACGGGATTCAGGAGCTCACGGTGCACAGAGGCCCGGCCTCGCCCTCTGCCCTCCCGGCCGGAGCCATTCCTGAGCTCGAGCGATCACACACATGCTGCCTCTCTCGGTCCTGCCCCTTGAAGGCCCGGTGAGAACGGCTCCCTGAAAGCGTGCCGCTGCCCCTGGAACCAGCCAACGCTCTGTCTCCCTGATGAGACCAGTGCCCACCCCACCCGCCCCGCCCTGCCCCGAGGCCAGGACGCAGGCTCTGCTTCTTCGGCAACCCGCCAGGCCCTGGCTTCCTGGACTGGATGGCAGGGCTGCCAGCCTTCGGGCTGCCCTCACTCCCGCACAGAGGCCCCTCCGCTCTTCACTCTAGAGCAGGGGCGTCAAACTCATTTTCACCAGGAGCCACATCAGCCTCGAGGTTGCCTTCGAAGGGCTGGATGTAACTTCAGGACTGTATAAATGTAACTAGTCCTTAACAGTTAAGCGAGAGCTCGGAGCTGCCGCCGGGCAGAAACCAGGTGCTGGGCCGGATTCAGCCCTCGGGCCCTGTGTTTGCCGCCCTGCTCTAGAAGTAGCTGAAGCAGGGCCCTGAGACAGCGGCAGTGGTCTCGACAGGAGTGTGTGCCACCGACAGCTCCAACCCTGTCCAGACTACATTAAATATTTCACTCTGAGCCCAGAAGTAGAAGGAAGTCAGGGAAAAGCACATGACCTTCAGGCTCCTGGTCCCCACTGTCCTTATCTTCCTAAATCATCCCAGGCTCTGAGATCAACCCTG